AAATATAGCTGTCATGAAAATCCATATTCTTTTTAAGTTATTTCAAATATATATTGCATTTTCATAATAACTCAAGGTAACCATTACTTCATTGTGATATAAAATGGATCCATGTGCCTAGAAAATACATAATACCGCCTTTTAAATGCTCCAGGACATCAAACACATTTAGGTAAATACCAAAGTAGTTTTCAACTCATGGATGATTTGTTGATGCTTTCTTGGAGTAGCTTCACCTTTGTTCCATGTGTTTTTTTTTTTAAGCATACAGTAACAGTTCCCACTGAGTCCTAATGTTGATGAAGGCCCTACTTCATGCAGTCAGGTTTTGTTGAAGTGATTTGTTTTTTCTTCTGGTGAGACAATAAAAAAAAGCCCCAAAAAGTGACTAATCACAGTTAGTTGTAGACAGAAAAAGAGGAGAGTCGCAATTAGAAAAAACACCATGCATACAGATAGAAAGTCCTGTTGCCCTGAAGCATTTTATTTATCTAAGTGCAATGGTAAAAAGTTAAGTTTGGACTTCATGTCTACGTAGACTAAAGGTTGGGGTCTAACTCGTCTAACTCGTAGATGCTGTTGAGTCGGCGGCAGGAGGTGTGTGAGGGCTTGAAGCTGCCCATGGAGGAGGTGGAGCTCAGCATGGGCATGTCCACTGATTTTGAACATGCGGTAAGTTATTTGTGCTCGTTATCACGACAAAGCAGTGGAAGCGCTGGTTATAGGAAATGTGAGACAAGGAGAGGGAACAGAACTGCCGTGCAAACAGCCTTCATCCACTTCAAAATGAGAGCATCAATATAAACTTAACTATTTTAAGAACGCTTAGCAGCTGATAAACAAGATGTATTTCACGTGTCATATTTGCTGTTACTAAAAGTTTACAGCTTAGCTTAAGGGAAGCTAAGTGTGCTGCACATTTTCAAAGTTAACTGAATCACTGAAAGGAAAACTTAGCTATGCTGTTAGCGTATTAGTGGAAGTGTCCCCCCCACTGCAGCACGCTAGATCAATTTTTACTTTTACCTTCCATATTACACCGTTTTTGAATTTCAATGTTACTTTCTGAACAGCAATTCAATTTACATTTCTTTCCTCTTTGGTCTGACTTGTACTTTCTCCTGTGGATTCAAGATCGAAGTGGGCGCCACCAACGTGCGAGTCGGCAGCATCATCTTCGGCAACAGGGAGTACCCCAACAGTGCGCTAAACACTCCTAACCCCAGTCCCCTTCCCAGTCCGGCTCCCAGCCCCGAGAAAACGGCCAAGACGGTGTCAGAAGAGGCTGCTAAGAAGATGCACCATCTCACCGTATCTGAACACTAAAAGGAGATTATTAAAATACCTCCAGGACAATGAGGGGGTGGGGGGACTAACATACATTTGGGGTTAGGACTGCAGCCTTCTTACATCGTTATAAAAAAAAAAAGTAGTCACAAAATAAGAAACTTTCTTTCCCCTTTTAGATTTTTCTAATCATTAAATTGACATTCAGTTAAGAAGTAAATGAGATAAGATGTCTTCTCCATCTCTACCAGTTGTGTCTAAAAGCTGTTTCCAGCTTGGAGGGCTCTCACTTCCAACGCGTGGAAAAACAGTGACCACCAGTGGATTCAAGCCAATGAAAAACAGGAACTCAGATGTAGTAAGACTTTTTTTGCGGCAGTGGCTTAGGTGTTAGCAGTCAGTATCTTCCATGAAGTTGACAGTAGTCCAGTAGGCTCAATTTTTCCACAACTCAAATCAGAGAATTTTTTTAGCTGTTTGATTAAATGCTGCTTTTTTTTTGCACCTCAGATTTAATGAGACTTGCACAATTGGGTCACTATTTATTCAGACATGTAGCATTAACATCCATATGGAGCTATAACATATGCACTAGGAGTTGTTGTGGCTCTTTAGAAAGCAGATATTCTGTACATATCATTCATTGCAGAATAAGGCCTGTGCTCTTTTCTTTCTAAATCTTACATTTCATTGTCCAAGCTATCAAAAATGATTAGTGTTGGCTTGTTTTACTGACAAACAATAACTGTTGCACATTTGTTCTGTCTCTTCAGAGTAGTTATTCTTGACTCCCAGGTGAGAATTTCTCTTGGATTCACTGAATGGCATAATTAGTAGATCTACCACTGGTAGGATAATGACTGCTCACAGCTAGTCCACATAACCTCACATCTAGTACTGATTATTTTTGTTTGTTTTTAGAAAAATATCTAAGTGGTGTTAAACACTTTACACATATGAAGGCCTTTTAGTTGCCATTACTCTGATAGTTTATTAAAGAGACACTAGCTTTATGAAATCAGTTTCTCTTGCGTTCTAATAGGAAATTGTTGAGCTGGTTCATTGTTTTCTATTTTTCCAACTAAACAATGTGAGGTCAAAAGTTCCACTCGCTCCAATGAACCATTTTCCTTGTAAAACAAAGATTTGATTTAATAAATTGTTTATCCCTTTATAAGAATTACCGTGCATTTGATATGGTTTCCTATGATGTGCCAAATGTCTCAGATTTTATTCTTGATATTGACAAATCCGAGGGGAGGTTTTGTTTCTGTTCTGTGTGTGTGTGTGTGTTTGTGTCTGTGCAGTGGTGTGTTATTCCAGATGAGAGAAAGTGAATCTATGCAAATGTTTGGTTCTCAAAGCTGCCAGCTGTGACGTCCAGCGGTTTCCACTGAGGAACGCAGTGTTTTCCTGTTCTCATATAAAAGTGTCAGTGGAATAATAACAAAATAACCAACAAAAAAAACTCTAAGATAGGAGGTAAACTTGTGATTAGATGTGTCCTTACTGTCAATAAGGCATTTCGGCATCGTTTGGTTTTTGAGGAGAGGCCAAAGCCAAGCAATAAATCTTACTGTTGAAAATTTTGGTTAATTGCTGTGTATTTATTCCTTTAGTGGGGGGAGGCGCATATTAAGTATAAGACGTGGACATCTTTTGGACAAAGTTTCTTTATTAATCATTTCAGGATGAAATCCAGATCAAAATTAAATTAAACATTGAAAAACAATTTTCAGAACTGACGTCTTCTTTTATGAGTTACCACCATACGATATTTGACAGTTTGCCCTGGATTGACAAATCAGCTCTCAAAATGGCAAACCTGGCATTTTGTCACTGCTAAATAAATAAAATCTGATGAAGCAGCAGTCTGTCCGAAAACAGTCTGTGAGCTAAAACCTTAAACAACCTGGAAGAAAAACCTTTCGATTCACTTCCTATTTCACATTTATAAGGCATTAATGCAGCTGAAAGCATAAAGTACAAGCAAAAACCAAATGTTTTCATTTTTTCCCCCATCATACTTCCAGGAGCTGAAACTTTGACTTTGCACCTGAGAGTAGTGTTGCACGATGCGTCAAGAGTCAACACTGGCGACGGCCATTTTACCATCTTTTTCTTTTTTTTTTAAATAGAGGTAGGAGGGATTTCATAGTGTGTGTTTGGTCATGTGACAATAATGGTGACGCAGCGCAGAATAGTGGTGTTTAACTGAAGCAGCAATTTGGTGTGTTTGTTTTTGTTTTAATGGTATTAAAAGGGTAAGAAATGTATCATAAATCATGTCAATAATAACCCTACCCTTTTCTGGAAAGAAAATTTTGACCCCATTCCCACTGTGCATCAGCCACTGGAATGACGAAAATACAGCAAAGAAACCTGGACTGGTGAGTCAAACATTCAGTCTATAGAAAGAAACAAAAACACACTGATGATGACTGAACAGTTTAAGCGCAAAATACTCAAAATACTTTAAGTAAAAGGAAAAAGCAAAACTGCACAATCACCAAAAAACATTCAACACCTAAACCAGCAATCATGAACTCATGTGTTGTGGAATGAGTGAAACACACCGGCTAAAACGTTTACAATAACTTTATACATTTCCTTTTATCTAATTTTAATCAAGAAATAGAAAGTGTTATAAACTTAGATCACTACGTTACTTCCTGCCTCTGAATGTGTCAACAAGCTGATAAATGTTCATATCATGTGTGAAATGCAGGATAAAGAAATTATAAAAAGAGAGAAAGAAGGGCTTGCTCTAACGTTCTAAAATTCAAGTACACTTGTATGGTCTAGTCCAATCACTGGAGGATTCTGTCCCTTTAATCAGTTACTACACGTTCTGGAGTATGGCTTCATCTGACAGTTCTTTTGAAAGCACCTAAAGTCTGAGATGGACATGCAGCCTTTATGGCCTCTGCAAAGACACGACGGACGTTTTGCCGACATTCCAAGATGAAACACCTGGGAAACCTCCAGATGGTCCTAATCAAAACCTCAACAGCCAACAGCTGTTTATGGACGGCTTACTTGACCTTTTGGTCACAATGTTGTGACTGATTGGTGTTTAAATTCAACCAAAATTGAAAGAAATCAAAATACATTTTGACCTACATGACAGGCTGCAACCATATTCTAGTAGGACTTTAATTGGTTATGTACAACATGTTTTTGTTTTGTATTTATTTATTTTTTTGCACCGTTAAGAAACTTTCACGCAATAACCACTGTGACCTGATAAGGATAATACCTTCAGACAGCCTCCATGACACCAAGCCAGATGGAAAAGGTTCCACACGTCTTACATTGGACACAGCTCTATGAACACGCTAGAGACAACGCCCCTTTGGTTCCACAATCTCAGCTCTGTATTCTGAAAGCTCACATGGCCCCTGATGTCAGCAGGATGTTTAAGGTGGACTGATTACCTCAAACAGGCTTCAGAAAGGTTCCATGTCAGGAAACCAAATTCAGCAGGTCAAACTCTGACGTCTCCCATCTCAAAGAAATATTAACAACAGATGAAAATGTCCTGAAATTGCAAACCAACTGTTCGTGTATCAGGATAATATTTGGACACTTTGGAAATCAGGTTGAACACAACTGAAGGCTGTTATGAAACAGCAGCTAAACAAACTTGTTAAGTTATTTTCATGTAACAGTTTTGATATTCTATGTCTTTCACAGAAATCCTTTAGTGTAAAAACCTACAAAAAGAACAAAAAAATGTCCAGTGTGGTCCAAAAAAAATAAAAACCTAAACATGAGTAGAAATGTTGCTGGAATACGGGGTTTCTGCAGAAAACCTAAAACATTAAGAAATGAAACCTGAAAGCTTCCCAGGACTGGTGTGTGGATCAACTGGTACCAGATTCGGCAGCCGACCGGGTCTGCTCCTCCTTTTAGTCCACCATGTTCCTCTCGTCTCCCGGAACGTGCTAAACCAGTTTTTTGGCTTCAAAGAAGCTTTTCAGGTGCCTCATCTGCCAGATCCCGGTGACGATGAGGATGAAGGTCTGAGCGATGGACCACCAGAGGACGCGCTGGTTGGTGCTCTCGCTCGTCATGCGGAACCTCTCCTCCCGGTACTGCCAGACACAAACCAGCGCAGTGAGCTCAAGGCTTAAGCAGCTCTGGTAAACATCTCAATTGTGTTTTTTGTTTTTGTTTTTCTGAACTGACCCTCTGGTAGCTCTGCTCCTTCTGGATCTGCTCCACCTGGTCCAGCAGCTGTCGCACTCGCAGCTGCAGCTCGGTCAGCTTATCTTTCGCTGCGATTTCAGGGTAGTTGTTGGTGTGTTCTCCGACCTGGATCTCCAAATGGACTCTCTGCAACATTACAGCCAAGTAAATTGCCGCTCCAGCCTTTATCCAGATACATTTATTTAAGGGAAGCTGAAAAGCCTTAATGTTTTCAAAGTCAGCAAAAGCGCTACAAAACATATTAGCACATTAGCAGAAGTGTGCCCACCACTGGAATCCATGACGCCAACGAGCCATTTAACATCTGGTCAGATGAGACCAAAAGGGAATTTTTTGGCACACATCTAAAAACCAAACACGCCACCTCACCCTCAACACACCATGAAATATAATAGTGGCAGCATCATACTGTGGGGCTGGATTCTTCAGATAGGGCAGATCTGTCCTTCCATCATCAGAGTTGATGGAAGGAGCTAAATGCAACCTGGTTCTGAAGGGAAACCTCCAGGTTTCCTCTGAACGTAAACCCAGAGCTACAACAGAACGGTTTACCAAAGCATATTTGCCCGATAGAACGGCCTACTGGAAATTTGTATCACAGGTGTTCTGCATTAAATGGGTCTGAGCGTAAGCAGTTTTAAAAAACCAAAAAGCTGAGCAATAAAAAACATCCATCCTCCAAAAGACTTCTAAAAAGTACTGACTTACTGGTTCAACTTCTGGATTTTATTCAGAAAAACACTGAAGATTATTATTGTTCTTCCAGGTTGCATTTATGCACGACTTTGTGCACAAGATGCTTGTAAAATACATCAACGTTTAAGGCTGCAAAGTGAAAAATGTCCAGGGGTGTGAATGCTTTTGCAAGTCGCGAACGAAACATAGCAAGAAGGTTAACAGCTTTAAGCTAAAAAAAAATTTAAAAGTAGACAAAACATCCACATGGAAGCCGTTTCTTTAATTAAATATCAATCAATCAATAAACCGTTGGAGGCGACGTTCCTACCAGCTTCCCTCCAGCGAACAGAGCCATCTTGGTGGAGTTGGAGTGCAGGCAGATCTGATGCTCTCCAGGAGTGTGGGAGGTGAACGTGAAGCGGCCCTCGGAGCCGTACTGACGGGACAGGATGATCTGGAACACAGCGAGACCAGGAGCTTTAGGTTGCCGTGGCGAGTGACGCGCTGAGTGTCGCGGTGACACCGCCGCTCTGAGCTCACCTTCGTGTCTGGATCCTTGATCTCGACGTGCATCCCGAGGCCAGGAGTGGAGGGGAGGAAGGAACCGGTCTGCTTGTCCCAAAGCTGGGTCCGGTATTTTCCTGCCAGATACAGAACATCCCACAGCTCTTAAAGGGACAGTAGCATGAATTTGTTCCTTGGACATGGTATATTTCTGATTTAAACCAATAAATTTGAATGATTCCCGTTACTGACTAAGTTCTAAACTTCAGGCATAAAACACACTAAGCATTGCTCTGAAAGTATTTTCAATATTTTCCACAAAAAATATCAATTTAAGTTCATGGTTGTATTTCTAGTATTTGAAGTTATTTTGAAAATATTTTCTATCATTAAATAGTAGACTTTAAAAAAAAAAATTTGAAGATGAGTTGGGATAAACTCTGAAACAGCTTTCCATTTATTTTCAATGCTGAAGGGATGCAAAACGTATCTGCAAGCATTTTATTTTATTTTGCTCTGTAGATTGAAAATCAAGTCTGATTTTCAAGTGAAAATATTTGTGACAACTTTAACTTCAGGTGAGCCACAGCGGCGTCTTTTTTTCGCTGCTTTTTATTCCGTTTTACTGAGAAACACTTTGTGACTGCACTCTGAGAGACATGCTGCATACATGTCATTTATTTCCGATTGGAAGGCCTCCGTGCCATCGCCTCAATCTTCAGCGCCTTCAACAGATCCTCTTTAAATTGAAAGTAGGTGCAGCTCGAAACCACTGAAAGCCTTCTTATTATATGTGCTGCTGATCAAATAGAAAAGTGTATGTCTGCTGAGATGGATGACTGACTGCTTCAAACCCAGTTCCTCTGACCTCTCACCTCTGGGTATGGATTCTGCTCTCTGTGTGGTTAAAGTGTCACCAGTCGCAGCAGTGCAGCTCTGCTCTGGATGACTGGATTAATAACCATCCTGACAGTGATGGAGGGACAGTGCCTTTCTGCTGCTTCCTTCAGGTCACGCTAAAGTGAAACCCCAACAACTGGCCTTCAGCAGATTTCATCTCCTTCTCTGAATGAGGACACATTGAATCAGATTCTGAACAACGAGCAAAGTGTTGAACAGTTTACGTAGACAGGCAAAAAAAAAAAAAAGACCTCACGTTTCTTTTCTCCCTGTCTGAAGTTAAATCAGAGCAAAACTTATTTTGTGAGAGGAAAAGAGTGGGTGCTTCTTCTTATTCGGTGTATGTAAACTTCTGGTTTCAACTGTATATTGAGTGAAACTTGTGTGTGTGGCGCAGCTAGCTACTACATCAGAGACAGATGCGCATTTCACGGACAGTGGAAGTGTCATCGTTTCATCAGGATCGCTGTAATCAGCCCAGCCGGGCTCCGTCTGATGCCGCATCTTCGTTACAACGAGCAGCGCCGCCTGCTAGCGCCGCCTGCTAGCTGGAGCTCCGGCTCAGCTGCTAGCTTACCGATGACCATGGTCTCGTCGGGAATTTCCTCAATGAAGCATTTTTTCTCTGTCTCTCCAATGTGGAAGTACAGCCCACAGCTGGGGTAAATCCAGGCTAGCAGGATAGCGACAGCGGCGGCTGGGACGGAGCGCATCATGTCACCTCCTTCACTTTAGCGTACATCAGCAGCTTCCCCTGCGGAACAAGGAAGGGGATTTCCTGCGAGCTGGAGAACTGTGTGCCCTGGGTTTGGACTGACAGGCACAACGTTGTCGTCTAACAATGCAAAAGCCCCCGTTTTTTATAGAAGACGATTTTGACCACTGAAAAAATAATAATAATAATATATATTTTCGGTTTGTTTTCACCTAAAAAAATATTTGAAACGATTTTTCATTTAGCGATCAAAAGGTCTATTTCACAAGAGCATCTTGACCAAGACAGGCAGCAGCAACAATGGAAAAAAGTTTGAAAACATTTGATTTGCCAGAAAAAAACAGACACTTCAACCATAATCTCAGAAATTCAATCCATCAACAATATAAGTAGCATGAAAGTCTAAAAATAAACCCAGCAGAATCACTTGCAATCCAGTGTTTCAAGGAGATTCAAAGGTGATACACTCCAGAGTTTTGTAGTTCATTCGATGAATAAATGGCAATTTACTAAACATATGAGTTACATTTTTTTTTTTGTATTTACATATTTGAGTTACAAGTTTGAAAACAAAAAGTTTCACCCGTACGAATAATCCAAAAGGTCAAAGGTCATACAAAACGCAGGTCCATATCTTATTAACGTGACCTGTCTGTTTTGATCCAAGGAGCAATGATTTCATAAAGTCAATTATGCAATTAGGTGACCAGATGTACTCTTTGTGGAGCAAAGCTACCCTGCTACATGTAGGCAACCAGACTCTGTCTAAGCCTGAAATGTCTCAACAGGACGCAGAAAATTAATAGGAAAGTTGGAAATTCCTCGCCATCCTTGATTTCAAAATCCATTATGTCAAAGTGAAGTCATGAGTTATTTGAGTAAAGGTTCAATACAAGTCCAAAGTCTTTCATGACATTCACAAGTTGAATACAAAGTCATTTATGACGCATGTCTAATTTGATTCCAAGTCTCATGACTCCAGTCCACGTCTTTGTCGTTTGCACTTTAAAATATACATGTTGGCATTTTGCAGCAGCATGTTCACAAGAGTTTTTTTTAATTCACAAGACGTCTGTGTGACTCATTCGATGTGCCACAAACCTTCAGAGGTCTGCAAAGCTGCCTCATAACTGAGTTATGAACCAGTTACTTCCTGCACAACATTCAGCAGCCTTTCTGACTTTAGGAGTCAACGCTGACAAGGAGCCTTTAACTTTCCAAGCTCAAACGGAGACATTTGACTTCAATGAGGCGACTTGGAAATTCCACCTTCAAGAACAAATACCACAAACCACAAGCACCAACCTGCAAATGTTACTGCTATGGTGACGGTGGCAGTAACATCATTTCCAGATTCAAGTTCTAGATTGTTGCAAAAAACAAATAAAGTCGTGCCTCTAAAGTGAAACAAATTCAGCAGGAAGAGGAATGCACATTTTCTTTGCTGCTTTCACATCACAAGAATTTCATTTCAGAAGATCTACAGTCTGGTTTTCAGAACAACCAGACAGATTCGACTTCAACTGTTTCTTAAACCAAAGTTTGGCATTTCAGTTTCAGCTGCATGAGACTCATAACCACTTCATTTTCATTTTCCTCACTCCGTTTTTTAGGCTTTCACTTCTAATGGCTAATTAGCCAATATACTCCTAAAAACCTACAAATTATAGTACAGTTTTTTTTTTCCAGTGTGCTGAAGGCACACGGTGTCAGCTTGTTTGGTCTGATGCAGACCAAACACCTGTCAGACATTTGATCTGTGGTCTGATGTGTATGTATATACATATCATTTTTTGACACGAATGCTCGTTATATTTACTAATACCTGGCTTCTACCGCCTCTCTGGAAACTCTCAGAGTGCTCTGTGGGTGTCGTGTGACCTCAGTGTATTTGGATCCATAAACATCCTCGATGACTCAGAGCTGCTTGTACTCGACAGTCAACGCGCAGGGTAAAATACCCACACGTTCTCGGCTAACAACACTCCGAATCGGCAGATTTCTTCAGTCAACCCTCGGCGCACTCGGAACAAGTTACAGAACAAGACGAAAATGCCTCTCTGGAGACACTCAGCTCGTTGATTTAAGCCGGCGTTTAAATTAGCTTAAAAGAACTTCTTAATTTGCCCTGCCGACTGTTTGCTACATTAGCTTACCAAGCTAATTAGCTAGCTCTTAGCTGTCTGCTATTAGCCAGCAGTCCGAATAAACTGTGAAGGGCAGTTTCTCAGTGACAGCTTCGCTGTTTCCTTCCTGGCATCAAAACTAAAAGAGAAGAAAAGGTAAGATGTGGTTTGTGACTATAAATGCGCCTGGTTGTGTGTAAAAGTCTTCTCCGTTTGACGTTAACGTTTAACGTTAGCCTAATATAACTGTCAAACGTTTTGTTTATGTCCCTGAGCGTTACCGTGTCCGCTTTGGTGCGTTTTTATGATGCACGGTTTGGTTTATTTCTGCGATCCCCCCACGTTATTTGGTCGCGCTAGAGTTGATTTCAGCCCTACAGTGGCACCTTGAATGATGAGGTCATGTGTTGTGTTTTTTTCCGCTGCTGTTCACCTGGAAGCAGGTCAAACTGATCACACGGAAGAGAGGCTCGGCATTTTTCCAAAGATCCCAACAATCTGAAACTGAGGCTCCCTGGATAGTTTTCTCCCACTAAAGGAGGATTCTGTCAGATTTAAAAATGAAAGTGAAAGTCAGACTCATCTGCCCCCTTCATCTGCAGAAAACGTGCTCAGCCTCAGAAACCTGTGAATGATGAACTGAATAGTTGAGTGAGAAAGTGTATGTATTCCCTCAAAGGCTGTATTAATCGTTTTCATTTTAATCTGTTTCCTGTTACAATTCATCTTGATCCTTCACAATATTTAAGACCCTACTGGGAGCAAAAGTCGATTCGTATAAAACCAGAAATATTCATACGCTGGGATTTCTTCAGTCTTCAGTTCGTTTTATGTGATCGGCCAAAACAAAACTGTACAGTGGATCAGAAATGGTGCATGGGCTTGAAATCTTTCACATGCAAATCTGAAAAGTGTGGCATGAGCTCGTATTCAAGCCATCTTTGCTGCAACCAGGTTTCTACCCGGCTTTGCTTTTTTTGTTTTTGTTGTTGCCTATGTATGGTAAATTAAAAAAAAATGAGTCAGATTAAATGTTCTGTGAACACAGATCTTCCATTGTTGCTGCGGATTCTCAAGTACATGTACACTGGGATGTTCCAAGTACATGTACACTGGGATGTTCCAACTCGCATCCTCTGATCTACAGCAGTGTTATCGTCAATTTATCATATTGACGATAAATTCCCACCGCGATCAATTTCTCATCGTGATAAGAATTTTGATTTATTGTTGTCGCGATAAATTTCAGTCATTGGTGGTGAATTTAAAAAAATAAAAAATTCAATTGCATGTTTGATCAGAAATGTAACTTTTGCTGTTTTCTCTGCCGTTTGTTTCATAAGAGCATCAATAAATATCAGTAATTCCAAAAACGTGATTATTAAATGCAGTGTCTTGCAGTCGCAGCCAAACAGTTTCCTATAAAATGAGTAATATACATATTTTTTTAATCATAATCTTTACTACAACAGCACCACAAAATACTGCAATAAAATTCTAAGTCCATATCGCCCACCCTTTTCCTCGGCTCTTGCCTTGCATGTTATAGATTTTTCCCTACCTCAGCTGAGTAGGTGATTGCATAATCTCCTTAGTTTGCCTCCAATTGCTACAGAAACCTGTTAATCACTCCTTCATTTAAGCCAGGTATGCAGCAGCGTCTCTTCTGATTGGAGCAGCTTCTCCGCCTGTTTACAAGTGACTCTTGGAATCGATCCAAGTTATGATTCAGTGACTCGTATCCCAGGGGTGCTTTTTGTAAAAAACTGACTCTGACTCTGAAGGGTCAGAATATATTTTATATGAGGGCAACTGAGTAAAAGCAGGGTAAATACCTCAATTAATTTGAGTGCAAATGAGTAATTAATTATTATGTTTTTTAATTATCGGCCTCTCTTTTGACTCTGCCTCTGTTTAGATGGTGCAGCCACAGCCGGACGGCCCCATGCAGTGGGACATGTCTGGAGATGACAGCGGAGGGACGCTCAGGGTCCCACCAGAGCTCGCTGGCAATGAAGTGGTGACCAGACTGTTGGGCGACAACCAGCAGCTCCGAGGTATTGACTTACAAACACTAAAAACAAAGTGTAAAAAAAAGAAAAAGACTCAAAAAGCAGTTTTCTGGATCCAAAATATTCCCATGATTCGTCATGTCTGCTTCATCTTATTCTATTGTTCCCATCCATTCCTGTAGTTTATGCAGCAACAGTTTTTTTTTGGGATGTTTGTGCATTTTTTTATAGTGTAATGTAAAGGAACAGCTGACGAAGAACAGTCGATGGTAGCAGTTTGTGTTGCAACAAATCTAAAGCAGCCTCTGACAGAAGACTGGTGCTGTATAACAGCCTCATGACATGCTAACAGCTCAATTTCCACACGAGCAAAGATGATGTTTCACAGCAACATCAAGCTCTGCTCTGCTTCACAAGCTCTGCTAATCCAGCTCCTTCGGTTTTGCTGCTCCACTTTAAGTCTCTGGCTGTGAGAAAGTTAGAAAAGTTTGTGATTTGTTAAATGCAAGACACAGCTAACAATAAAAGAGGAGCTTATTACGGTTCCATATCAAACTCTTCTGATTATTACTAGTAGTAGAGTCAAAGTTGGCTTTTGTAATTGTTTGTGCTGGAAAAAGACGTCGACTGAAAGCTGGCACCTGTCTGTCCTCTAGAGGCTCTGCGGAGGAGCAACCAGGCCCTGCGTCAGCGCTGCGAAGAGATGGAGGGATGGCAGCGGCGGACCAGGGAGGAACGCGAATTCCTCAGCTGTCGTTTCCAGGAGGCCCGGGCGCTGGTGGAGAGGCTGGCGCAGGAGAACCACTCTTTGCAGAGCATGGTGAACGGACCAGGCTCGTCGTCCAACCACAGCTACAGCTCAGCCCAAATGGAGGCGTCACCGGGGCTTCCTGCCCGGAACGGCCCGCTGGATGAACCAAAGGTGGGTGTGCTGCAGACTTGCGTCGCTCCACCTTTCTCCTCCCACTGTTCAGAGAGGCTGTCACACATAACTAGACTGTGGTCGTCTTGTAACATTAAGAGGAAGCTTCTTCTCAATTTGTTTTCTAAATAAAAAAAAAACTGCATTATTTAAATATGTGAAATTTTGATTAATTTTCATCTATGGTGTCTGGAAAAGCATTTATAGATGGCTCTTATGCTTCCCTTGGTGACTGGATATTGTTTTATCAGCTGTGTTGCCAACTTGTCGAGTTTTATGACGAAAGATGGGTCACTTTGTTGCTCACTGCTTATGTTCTTTAGCCTAACTAAATCATCGCAGTCTGGATCTTCACAATCCAGACTGCGATTGTGAAGATCCAATTGCAAAAGTGACGGCAATTGTCACTTTTATCTCTGTTGGAAGGTTGTTCAAACAGTCAAATCTTTACACTGATTTTCTACTTACTGACGTCTCTCACTTGTCCTTAGAGATCTGAAAACCAGCCACTGTAGTTTGGACGATAACTCTCTAAATGTGTCATTTATATTCGAGATCATGGTGTCATGTGCAGTTAAAACAAGTTTGTGTCCTTATAACACCTGACAATGTCCGATATACAAACAAAATTGCCCTTCAAAAGATATTAATCATGAGCTTATTTTAATTTATCATGCAATTTATTGATTGCTCCGATAAATATCAGTTACAGCAAACCAATAGACACAAGAGATCTGTTTATTTTACTTCACTTCAGTATGGAGGTGTGCTGTATTGGTGCAAAGTTATCAAATACATGTGTAATTCAGCGCAGTTACATCCATACTTAAAAGAAAGAAAAGAAAATGTTCAGCACTGCTATTGGCTGATACTGAACCTCTGATATCGATATTGGTATGAAAAAAGTGAATCGGTGCATCCCTAAACTCAATGTAAAATTTTCGACACATGTGCCATAGAATTATTAGTCTGAAGAAACAGAATTCTAGTTTTTTGAACAACGTGGTGTTTTTATGTTTTGTCTTTCAGACTTTAGACCAATGGGAGAGGAAAAGAGTTGAAGAAACGGAGCAGCACACACAAACCACACCACTTCGCAGCCTGGTAGAGTGTTTCTTTAGTTTGTTCCATTTCACCTCATGTGTCTCAAGTTAAAAATGTTCATATTGTTTTAAGAGAAAACCATTAAATAAAACCCCAAAAATCAGTTATAATAATTCTGCAACATTTGTCTTCAAATACTTGCCCTACTTTTTTGGCATCAGATCCTGAAGTAACACTAATCTGCCAGCGAGGGGTACACTGATTGCAGTTTTGTGATCAATCACAGATCACAATCAAAGACTGATATGCCAATTCCAGTTCTGGCAAATTCACTTTTTTTTTTTTCTGAAACATTACCAAAGTCACCTGCTTCTATAACAATCGCATGGCTTTGTTTCTCCAGCCTGCAGAGGGTGCAAATGAGTTCCTGCAGCTGCTCAAGAGCCACAAAGAAAAAACAGAGGAAGAGATGAGAGAGATGAGAAGGAAAAATGAAGAGTTAAAGAGGGAACGGGACGAGGGGAAAGAAGTGTTGGAGCGACAGCATCGATGCATTGAACACCTGCGGGCTAAACTGTTCCATACACAGGTAGCACGCAATGCTAACTTCACTTCCTGTCCTGTAGACATGAAGTTGTATGTATGAATTTCAGATGCAATCTAGAACCATAGAAAATAAAATAATTTTTCTAAGTGGGTGATATGGACTTAGAATGTTATGATATGTTGAGATGTTGTTGTGATTAACGATGAAAATTATGATTTAGAATAAACTGTTCAGTATTTTTTAGGCAATTGTATGGCAGTAACATCATAGCACCACAAACAATGCTTTTGAAAAACATTCCCAGCTAGTTCAGCCTTTCGTAATCTTTTTAGGAAATTGTTTTGTTTTTTATTATGTTTTGTGGCCTGAAGGATTGTGTTAATATTTTGCAGATGAGCAGCAATGAGGAAGCTGTTCAGCTTCGCTCTGAGGCTCAGCACACCTCTGACTGGTAAAACTCAGTCACACACACACACACACGCACACACAGGTAGAAGATTATCTAAGCTAACAGTGCTAAACTAACTTTAAGCCAAAACCTTAACTTGGTTCTACTAAATGAACTCGCATTGTACCCTGTTATAACTGCAGCTTATTCTACTCTTCTAATTAAAGTTCTGTCCTTCCTCCTGCTTAACAAAACCTCTTCCTCTTCCTTATCTTCTTTGGCCTTGTTTGGTTCCTTTTGCCAGCTCTAGTCTGGCTAAACTCACAGAGCAGCTTCAGGCCACACAGGGCAGGTGAGCCTACAGCTCTGTGTGGCTTTTTGTTCCCTCTCTGCATGTGTCACTGCTTGCCTGTCTGACTCCAAAATCTGAACTCATTTTGTTTCCTGTGGGTTTCACAAGTAGATCAGATGTGTTGCACTGTATTATTCATCCACTTGGGTTTTTTTAATGCCATTCCAACACACCACAAAAGAATTTTGCCATGGTAAAAAAACTCCAATAATTTACTTCTTGATTATTTTCTGCATCTTTTAATACAAAGATATTTTATTTGGAATTATTTTCGCAACAAACAATGCATCGATTTCAGGAAAATGAGTGTTAGTGGAATAACTAATCAGCAACTTTACTCAAGTTTGTAACTTCATTGCTCCAGAATGACTGCTTTATATCAAAAGTTGTGCCTATAATGATGTACTTACCATAATTCTAACGTCAGTGCATTTCTGCTGTAGGTATCGGGAGCTGGAGGAGAAACTGGATTATCTGCAGAAGAGCTCCGCTCAACGGGACAGAACTGAAGCTTTGCTCAAACAAAAGGACAAGGATTGTGCCCAGGTCTGCTAGAAGACTTTGCTAATGTTTTAGTATTACCTTAGATTTAGATTAGTTCATTTAATCTATAGACTGCCATCTACAGCAGTTGGCGAACTTACAATACCCATGTTATATGTATGCAAATCTCTGGAACTGCTGGGGATGGAAGAGCAACTCCACCCGTCTCTTTATTCTGCTCTGTTGTAAAAAGTGTCCCTCCTTTCCTGGAGACACTGAAGTCTCCTAGGTTCATGTCGACCCACAACATGACCACTTCAAAATGATCACTACCAATGCTGTTTGAGGCATCCTCTGTGTCCAGTGACCTTGAGTCAGTGTTTACATGACTTTTTGGAGGCAGCAGCAACTGTTTCGAACACTGTTTCTTCACTAATGACTAGGGGTTCACCGATAAATCGGCCCCAAATTTCTTACATTTTGGGAGATCAGCCAATACTTACTTGGGAATCTTATCTTCGCAAAGGTCTGAAAGTCATCCCTTGTCGCCTTCTGATCAGCATTTAGAACAAAACAGTCAGATGAAAAAAAGTCAATGCAGAAACAGCAAAATAAATAACATAAATTAACAAATCTTCAGGGCATCTCCTCTGCCTGTTATTCATCAGTTCCTGGTCTGTGCCACATGTCTTAAATTTTGTTTTAGCAAGACTATTTAAACTGGTTTATTCTACATAGTTTTCTTTTTTGTCATGGGACTTTACTGTTACGCAAAACTGAGTCATGTCCAAATATCTTTAGTGTGTTATTTGACTCAAAGTGGTTGCAGCTACCGGTCATTAGCTGCCAATAACTGCTTGAGCTAGCTTGAGCTAGCTTGAGCTAGCGACTCACTTCTGTTGTCAACCCACACAATTTATTTGCAATTTACTTTTCTGTCGTGATGCAGGTCTTACAATTCATCCATACTGGTCTTAAAAAGTCACATTTGAGTTGGCAAAACCTGCAGAAACCCTCTAATCACTTCTTAGTCAAATTATTTCCACAACTACATGTTTGTTTACCAAATTACATCCAAATCACTCAATTCCTTATTGCCTTCCTTTATCTGGGAGGGCATATTTGAAGCTTATTTTCTTCTGTTTGTATTCCACCAGTTGGCCAAGGACTGTGAGGCTCTGAAAGCCCAGGCGACGTCGCTGTTAGGCGAGCTGAACGAGAGGCAGATCCTCCTGCAGAAGAGCGACGATGAGCGCAAAATGCTGGAGGAGAAGTGAGTCGTCTCGTCGAAACCGGAGCGGTCGTGTCCGGTCCGTTTGTCACGTTTGTTGTTTCTGCGTTTAGGCTGGTCAGCAAGGTAAAGGCCCTGCAGGCGGTGGAGCGGGAGCTGGAGCAGCAGAGGAAGCAGCATCATGTGGCCAATGACAAGCTGCTGCTGCAGGTGCAGAGCCTGGAGAACGCGCTGAAGTCGGAGAGGCACGTGGTCACAGAGGAGAAGTGGGTTCAGCACACCGTTCCACTTGATCAAAATACTTCAAACGTTTAGGAAGACAAAGTGTGTTTTTAAATCCCTTTTGTTCTGCGCTTATCAGGAAAAAGCTGTCACAGTTGCAGCACGCCTACACATGTCTGTTCAGAGACTATGATTCCAAACTGAAGAGTGAGGTAAAAACACACTCAGACGCCTGTACCCTCACTAGTTTTGCTGTTCTAACGTCGGGCTCTGCATATTGCTGCAGGGAGGAGACCTCAGCAGTAAGCTGGAGGAGGCGGAGCGGGCGCTGGCCATCAAGCAGGACTTGATCGATAAACTCAAGGAGGAAGTGGAGCAGCAGAAAGGCTCGCTGGAAACCGTCCCTGTTCTCACAGCACAGGTAAAGTCCAAACTGCTGCTTACGTCTTCGTAGTCTGTGGATTTCTGGCAATATCTGCTGATTTTAATCACTCTCTGCTACACTTCCAACATTTCAACAGTTGGTCAGTTGCTCTACTCGAGGAAACATAACATTGGATTTGTTTTATGCAAATATTTGTATTGGTAAATAAATGATTCAACATTTGTAACAAACCACAACAACAGCTGTAGGATTGTCAGAAAAGATGTAGACAGAGATGATTTTCAGAGGCCATCTTTTCTCAAAAAAAATCATCAAGCAACAGGAATTGACAAGAAAGTGGAGTTTCTTTAAATGAAAAGATTGAAGTTCAAAAGTTGAATTTCTTTTCAAAAAAAGATGTTCAGTTTAAAAAAAGTTATGATTACACATTTACCATCTTAAAACTATAAAAAAACATTTTTTGTTTTGTAAAGTATAAACGCATGACCTTGTTGCCTGTTTGCGTTTGTGCCAGGCTGAGATCTACAAGGCAGATTTCCTGGCAGAACGAGAAGCGAGAGAGAAGCTGAACCAGAAGAAGGAGGAGCTGCAGGAACAGTTCACTCAGGCTCTGGCTGAGATCGAGCGGTTGAAGCACGAGCTCACAGCACGGTAACCACACATTCATCAGGCTCCATGTTAATATTAATGTGTGCTGTATATTTGGACATGCTTCTCATGTGTGTGTGTTAAAGGCGAGTGGAAATCTGTGGTGGGCAAAACTCACAGTTTAGCTGCTTCTCAAATGCTCCTTCAGCTGCTTCAACCTAAGTGCAGATGTTGTCAAACAAGCGAGGTTTTCTGTCCCTTCTGAGGCTGAAACCTCACCTCACCTGTGGAAAATCACCTCAGTCTGGGTCTGCACAGAACCCAGCTTCGACAATAAACGCAATCCAAGATGAAATAATCTCTACTTCTATAGCTCAGAATCAAGGTCGTCAATTATGACCTCCAGTTCATGATGGACAGCATCATTTGTTTTTCATCTTCACTTGTAATATGAAGTTCTATGAAGTTCTATGGATTCTGACCCTTCTTTACGTGAGGATCAACAAACGCCTCCATATTTGTAGTTACCTACATATGTGCCACATATTCAGAGTAAAATGAGAGTTCCTCATTGTTGTCCAAAAAGATGTTTTTCAGTGTGCAGCAAAAATAAAAAATCTTATTATTTATTTAAGGGTCTAACGAGTGACTTCTGTTTCAGTGCACGTTTGGAGCAAATGAAGCTGAAACACATGGATGATTTTCCTGCACGGCCCTCTCACATTCCCCCTCAGCAAGGTACAATACATCCAACACACACATACACAAATAATATTTTGTGGATAGGTTTAAACTTTTTGGACTATTTGAAGTGCAACAACATTTGAAACAGTGTTACTAAACTTTTTTGGGTAAGGTTACATGCAGAAATTTCAACTTTTTTGTAAAACAATTTTATGGCAAAAAAATAATAATTTTTTAAAATGTTCGTCTTAAATTGCAAGTTTTTTGAAAAATGTGCCGCAAAATCAGCGCTGCAACAATATAAAAAAATCCCCAGCATCCTGGAGGGACTGATTCTGGTGCCACATTTTGCCTCTACGTTAACTCTGGAAATCTTGATGTGTGCCAGTAGGTTGTAGTTTGTTGGGATCCTGTCCAGTCTGGAATTTTATTCTAGCATTTCCAGATCTGCATAAGTGTGAAAAAGGAGTTTGGAAAGAATTGTTTCTCTGACATTCTTAAATGAATCTCTGTGTTGCACATTAAGCATATGTCAAAGAATGTTTGACCTGTAATAAGCTGTGTTAAGATGTTCTCCTCCTCTGCTGCAGTTGTTGGGTTTCCTGGTGCTGGCTTCAACACAGTGCCACCGAACCGGAACCACGTTTTGGCACCGGTCATCGACCCTGCTGCAGCAGCAGCTGCAGACCTGCCTGATTTATGCTGTCCAAAGTGCAACTACCTGGCTCCAGATATGGACACCCTGCAGATACACGTCATGGACTGTATACAATAATACAGTGGGCAAGCGCAGTTCAATGTGCCACAATGCCAACACACACACACGTAGTATATTTACTGGTCATCCAGAAAGTATTCACATCCCTTCATTTTTAAAAAATGTTATGTGGCAGACCAACTCTAAAACCCACATAGGTAAGGTTTTGTATGTTCTATAGCTAGACAACATGTTTTCAGATACATTTTATAATTATTTTAAATTTACAAATAATAGTTACATTAGTATTTGCATCCCTTCATATGGCAGTCAAAACTGAGTGTCTCATTATTGGTGAGTTTTTTTCAACGACATTGGAGTTCCCCTGTGCTAAGTTCATAAGATTGAACATGATTTGGAATGGAACTCATTTGGCTGCAGAAACCAAGCAATAAACTCAGAGGAATTATCTGTAGACCTTTGGAAGTGAATTCTGTGAAAGCAAAAAAAAAAAAATTGAGAAAGAACACAAAGCATTTTAAGGGTCACCGCATATCTGTTATTTGGACATGGTCAACATTTTACCCCCAAAATTTACCCGAAAACAACATTTAAAGAGACATGCTCAAGACAACTGGAGGCTAGAACTGCTGTCAAAAGGGCTTCAACAAAATATCAAACAATGGCTGTGAAAACTTATGTTTCTGTAAATTTAGAAAAATTACCAAATATCTGTAAAAAAGAGGGTGGGGGGGGAATACTTTCAGGATCCATTGTACTTTCTGTGTCCAGCTATGGGTGAAACATATTTGGTTATTGCACCTTATTTACTTTCTATCATACAAGGACAAATAGAAAGACCTAAGGCTTTTTTGGATCCTGAAGTAAAAACCCTAATATATTAGAATAAGGAAAAAGTATGTGGAGGCAAATAAAAGGTCATATGATAAATTTGAAGATTTTATTGTACTCCTCTCCTGCTTCCTGGATTCCGTTTCTTTTGGCACCTTCCAGTCTTTTCCTCTTGGTTTCTTTTTTTTTGCCAATACCTGGCCTTTTGTTTCCTTTTACCCCTCCCTGTCCATTCCCTTGCTGTTTCTTTTTGTTGTTGTTGTTTTTCTTTACATGATTCAACTTTCCCTTTTCCAACATTTTGTCTCTTGTGCAAATGAACAGTAAACATGTTATGAAGTACATATGTATACTTTGACATCATCCTCCAACAGTATTCATTGGACCTAATACTAAAAATGTGACAATTTTTTTAAAAAGAAGAAAATGCATGTGGATTTACCTGATAAGCTTTAAGGGATAACGAATATTCAAATGTTTTGGTTGTAAAAAGTAGCTTTTTGCATCAACTCAAAACATGTATTATTATGTAGTAGAGATGGATTTACTCTTGTTGGAAAGAAAAGTAGCCATTCTCTGTTCTGTGCCTGTGTTGACTGTGCCGCTGCTTTTATCTCTGATGCTAAACCTGACCTTTAACCCGTCAGAACTCTTGCTGTGCCCCTTATCTTGTCTTATCTTTTATCTTTTGACGCCTGCTATTTATCAGTATGAATGTAAGCACATTAAACTTTTGAGTATTGTGAGGATATTCTTTGTAATTGTAATTTGTTGCAAGGATTCGCGAAATAAATCATTTATTCAATTGTCTGCGTGTATCAGTGACAGTTTGAGAAGCCACTCGGGAGAAACCATTAACGATGATTGGAAGGGGGTCGCCGAAGTCTTGTGTTTTACGTTTCCATTCAAAAATACTTTAGAAGTACCAAAGGGAAATTAGATAATTGGGAATGTTTCCCACATTACATAAACAGCATTACAGTGTTTCTTTAAATGCAACGAATTTAAGAAAATGACTTCTCCGGACCTGTTGGATGATGGTACAGTCTAACCGTCCTGTTCTGCGACACACGCGCCTGGGGTTTTTTTTCCGGCTCAACCTGGAGACGGAAATCCCTGTTTAATTTCAAAATAAAAGGCCCACTGCCTTGTTCATTGCCAACTCTACCTTTATTATAAAGGTATCATTTGGCTATGATATAAGATAACGCACAAATGTAGTTTACCACACTTAAGTTGCAAATACAACTGTGCATTTTCTAACTTTTTTTTAAGCTTATGGTCTATCAGAAAATTAAACGGACTTTATTTTGGTAACGCGGGTCTCCCGGTCACACAACGGGGACTAGACACTCACACCCCATGTTGCGTATTTGCACATTAGGCCGAGCTGTCCGCCGTGCTTCGTGCTTTAAGACCACTCTGCGGGCAGGCATGTCGGGCTCACCTACCCCACCTCCCTCAGCTGAGGCTGCGGGTTCCGGGGGGTGTTTCCCTCCTGGATACAAGCCATTTAAACCCGAGGACCACGGCTTGGAGCGCGGGTTCCGTCTTACGTCTTACTCTGAGTTGAAGGGATGAGGATGCAAGGTCCCGCAGGAGGTTCTGCTCAAACTCCTGGCGGGACTGGAGACGGACCGAGGCGATGGGCCGGGCAAAGCTGGAGACCAGGGTTCTGAGTTCGACCAACAGTTGCCTGGACCCCGGCTTGGTAAGAAACTCCAACACCAGCCCCGGTGCTCCGAGCTGCGGAAACCCGGTAGCTAACCTAAATTGGCTAACGAACAGTTGCTAATACTATTAGCTTTGAGGACTCGTATGACAGATGATGTGGACCATTCACAGAAGAGAAAGTTTTACGAGTCGTATAACCTCATTGTAATGCAGATATAAAATGAGTGCGTGTAAACCAGAACAATGGTTCCCCGAACTGTTAAATTACTACACAAGGTAAATGATTCAGCAGAAACACATGTAATGCTTCAAGTACGAAGTCCACTAATACTCATTCCAAAGAGTTACAATACATGCACAATTACTCCTGAAATATGACCAATGAATGTTGGTAACTCAAAAGAACAGCTTCACTTAATTGGAGCTGCTTTTCACTCTTAAATGGAGAAAACTTGCATGTCTCTTTGTATTTATTCCAGGTATTGGGATGGACAGTTGTGTGACTCCATTGAGGCATGGAGGTCTCTCTCTGGTCCAGACCACTGATTTCTTCTACCCTCTGGTAGAAGATCCATATATGATGGTAAGTTTATGTTGTGGATTTTTTTTCACACAGCAGAAGTTATTAACAAATCTTACAAATTTAGTATGAAAACATATTTAAAGCTAGATTTGGCCCACATTAGTTCATCAGTCAAATGTGGCTTCAGACAGACAGGATATTATTGAACACACTGACTTGACAAGGGTAAGTATCCACATAAAAGTATCAATTTAGAAAGGTTAATATGTTAGCTCACTGCCAAAGAGGCCAGTGGCTATTTTTGGATTAAACTGGGGAGGGCTGGAAAGATAAATGATTTAAGTAATATTCAGCACGCTGAACAAAAGACTAACATTGTCTGTGGACCCCAATAACTACATTAGCACAATGAATTTAAAAGGCTGCACCTAAATCCTGAAAGATTCACCTGATGTGGCCTGAATGCACCATCACACAACTTCCTCTTGGTCTGCACAAACCTGACCTGCTTGTTCCTTGTCAAATTTCCCAAGTTTTTGATGTTCTCTATGACTCAGCAAGTCCTTCTGTTTAAGAAGAGCTGTCGTCCTTCTATTCAACAAGCGAAATGTGTTTTTAGCACAATATGCGAGTAGCCTTGTCTGAAAGTTAAAAGTTTGAGTTGCTTAAGAATCGGACAGAAAATATTCCTCCGGAAACCAGAGATGAAAATGAGATTGAAAAATACAGCATAAAATTATTTAGATACTACAAAAGCACTCAGAAGCCTAATATGAAATGAGCTTCCAGTGTTTGCTGTGGGTTAAAGTTGCAGCAGTAGCTGTACAATGGCTCACTCTGAAAGGTTTCTTGACTTTTATAGAAACTGACAGGATAATCAGTAAACCCTCCAAGAATCGTTTCTGTTCTGTGACTTGATTTCTGCTCGCTGCAACTCCGATTTATAAATGATTGATGTGACTAAGTGTTAATGACTAACTGTGTCATCAAGGGTTTTAATGGAGATTGTGAGCAGTTTGAAGTTTAACTACGCCCATTGTTGTATTCAAAAACATGCTAGCAAACTGAATGATATTATGTTTGAGACGGGAACGTGAGCAGAACTGAAGAAAATTCACGTTGTGGATCAAATGTCCGGAATTATTACAGAGCGGAAGCTTTGGCTGCAAGCTTAGCCAGTTTTCTTTTTCATTTGGCTCCAAAACTGCTTTTTTAATTCCTCTATAGATGGATGGATGAAACTATGAAACTCAAAGATTATGGCAGTGGCTCGGTCATGAGTTCTGTCATATGTTACCACATCCCCCCTCAGAGCCTCATGAAGCAGCAGGAGGGTGAAAATTCTTGCCTAATGAAAACATCGAAGAGGTTTTTAAGCAGTTTGCATCAACTGACACTAAATGAAGCTTTCAGCCATTGTTCTGCAAGGTTGAGCTTTACAAAAAGAGATCAAACTTTAAACTAAATCTACATTCACCGTTTACAGCTCACCCCTTTTAAGTGGATTTCCACAGTTTTTTTTTTTGTAATGCATTCACTTTCTATTTTCTGATTTCTTTTCAAGAATGATGATCTGTAGAATATAAGAGGAGCATTTAAATTTTCTGGTAGTCCTGACATGAGTGATCAGCATGCCTCGTTAAACCTAGAAGTAAAGGGACTTATCAAAAATGTTCTGATTTGTTGAATATGACTGTATCAAAACTTGATATTTCTAGAACTTTGACCCTTTAAAGACCGTATGCCTAAACAACTCCCAATTTTTATTGAAAAAATGTTCAATAAAACAATATTTTTTATGCAAAATATCATACGTTGCATTATTTATTTCAGGAGGAATTGTTGCAGAAGACAGTAGAAAGTTGTGATGTCTTGACACAAGACCGTGATGGCTTTTTTGGGCCATTGTAAATAATAAAAAAAGTATTAGTAAATTTCCACTAAGAAATTTTGTGAGGAATCTCAGGAGAAACCGTCTAAAAATGGATCTCTTATGGGTTGCTGTCATATTCAGTCGATGCTGCACAGATGACAGAGAATGTTTGGTCTTCCGTTTTAGTGATTCTGGGTAAAAAAAACAAAAACAAATTTGGGGTGGGGGATATATTTATTGACTAAATTCAGGTTCTGATCGTGTAAAACTAGTTTGATCCTTCAGTTTGACGCCAGATTTTTGTGACTGTCCTGATGTCTCTCATTTGTTGACCTCGCCGTGTCCCAGGGAAGGATAGCGTGTGCGAACGTCCTCAGTGACCTCTACGCCATGGGCATCACGGAGTGCGACAACATGCTGATGCTGCTGAGCCTCAGTCAGAAGATGAATGAAAAGGTAGTGACATATTCTATTTGTTTTGTAATTGATGAGCGCCGTTGCCAGTAAATTGTAAGCGGCAGCGTAACTGATCCTTCACAACATCTGTAGCTGCGTTGTGTTCCCTTCACCGCTGCTCTTTAGGTTTTTGTTCATCTGCCCGCAGGATCGAGAGCGAGTGACACCGCTGATGATCAAAGGTTTCCGGGACGCAGCAGAGGAGGGAGGGACATCGGTGACAGGGGGCCAGACGGTGATCAACCCCTGGATCATCGTTGGGGGTGTAGCATCAGTCGTGTGCCAGCCCAATGAGTTCATCATGTGAGTCAGATGTGAGCTGAAGACGTCCCAAGATGCAACATGTTCACATTTCCAACTTCATCTTCCCTTTAAAATGGAAACATTCTGTGTCCGTCGCTCCTTCCATCGACCCTCTCATACTTTCTTTTTCTTCCTGTCTTTGTGTCTTTCATTCCTTCTGTCTGTTCATTCTTCCTTCCGAGTCCTTTCCCTAAATACCTCAGAGTTGACTGAATCTCATTATTGATTCCTGATTGGGAAGGTGGATTGTTTGAAAAAAGTGATTAAAATGCAGTTGTTTAACACCAACACTTGTTGCAAGATGTATTGAAATAAAAAAAAATTGATGGCAAACCATTAGATTCATAAAAACAAAAAATTCTAAATGAATTAATGAATTTCATAAATTACAAAGTAATCCCCTACAGGTTTCTCTTTGAGTTTGTGTGTTGGCAGAATTAATATTATAATTTTTTTACCAAACATTTCTGGCAGCATCATTCTCTGGCTCTCTGGGGTTAGAAGAATCCTGTTTTTGTTTTTATTTGGCACAAAGAACAATGAACACAGTTGAATTTTTAATGTGAAAACTGTAAGTATGCTTGACGTTTGTATTTCTGTCCCAGGCCTGACGGCGCGGTACCAGGTGACGTCCTGGTTCTGACCAAACCTCTGGGGACCCGAGTGGCTGTAAACGCCCACCAGTGGCTCGAACAGGTCCACCACTCACTTTGATATTGTTACATTTTTATTCATGTCTAGTTTATTTCAAACTGTATTCTATCAGCTTTGGGAGATTCATCTGAAACCAATCTGACCTTATCTACATCCAACAAAGATCTGAAAATCAGCCGCTGTTCGTTCTGCCATGAGACCCGGCGGATTGACTGACTGACAAACCCCGGCCTGGTGATCTTTGCCGCATGTATTCCATCTCTCACATTATCCATTTTACTACGCTGGCACTTTCAAATAAAGGCCACGAGAGCCAAAACAAAACAA